TGAAAATCCGTGAACCCTGATGTACGATCCTCCAGCAGAAGCAGAAGTTCGGTCTTGCAATTAAGTTTTGAAACGAGGNGAAAAGCAGTAGGATCGGGCGGTCTCCTTCTCATTCATTCATAGGGGGTAGCAACCGCATAAGATGTATTACTATCATACTGCGCAACATTTGGAAGTAGGAGCGCATTTCTTCATCTTGGGGTGAATCACTGATCGTTCCCATTTTCAAGAAAGAATCACGCTATGACTGCGAAAACCACCGAGGGATAATTTCGATCCCAATCGTCACCACAAGGGTAGCCTCCATCATACGTTGACGTCTAACTCCTTTGAGAGTGACCAAAACCCGAGAACACGAAGCCATATTCCGGCCTGGAAGTGGATGCATTGATCAATTTTTTACGTTGCGTCATATCCACCGTCGATCAACGATCGCAGTGTTCCTTGACCTGCAAGGCGCGTTGGACTCATTTGACCGCGAAGCTCTGATGGGTTCTCTTCTTCGAAAAGGCCCCGGAAGTACATTAATTTACTGAGGTCACTGTACTCAAATACTTCTGATCGAGTTAGAGTTTATAACGAACTAAGTAGGCCGTTCGCCAAAAACAGCGGTGCTTGTTAGGGGTGTCCTCTTTCGCCTTTCGTGGAGAATTTCGTCGTAGACGAAATACTGGAGAACGCACTAAGTGGTCTCCAAAACGTAGGCATTAAATTGGAAGATGGAGGAAAGCTGTGCGATTTGGAGTACGCCGACGACATCGTCTGTTTGCTCGAATGTTCGGAGGACGCGCAGACTAACAAGTGCTGTTGTCACATTCAGTATGCGCTTTGCACCTTCAAATTGCAAAGTGATGCTGCAGGATTGGGTTTCGCCTACTCCCGCTTTGAAGCTAAATGTCCAAGAATTAGTTATAGTGGACTGCTTTTCATACTTAGGTAGTTGCGTGACAAAGGACGGTAGCGCAGCAAAGGAGATAACCACCCGCATTTCCAAGGCTCGAGCAGCATACGCAGGACTGAAAAGACTTTGGCGTAGGCGCGACGTTTAAAAGGTAGTTTATGTTGTGCTAGCGTTCGTTCAGTTCTGCTTTATGATTGTGAGACCTTGAATTTGCGAGTATTAGATATTGATCAACCAGAAGTTTCCGATTATTTTTGTTTACGTAGTTTAGCTCACGTTGTGTGAAGCGAACGGGTTAGTGATCTGGAGGTAAGCCGTCGTGTGTTTGGGAGTCTGTCATGGATAAAACTGCTACCACATCGAATTGATATTAGTAGGTTTCGTTGGTTATGGCACGAATGGCGTATGCCCAGCTGTCGTCTGCCGCACCGGGCTTTATTCTCCGTGGCCGCTCCAGGCTGGAGAAAACGAAGCGGGGGTCAACAGATGACCTGAAGACAAGGCATAAAGAAATCCACAGAACCATTAGGCAGAGCATGTGCCACGCGCCTTCCAGGTTGGGGGTTGGAAAGACTCTGTAACTGGTTTGTTGGGGACATTAAAGGATATGGCAGCAAAACGACAGCAGTGGTATTCTTTTCTTATCAGTTCAGAATGCTTGAAACGGTATGTGTGCAGAGTTCGATTGTGTAATCTGTGTGTTAACCACAGAGGTTGACGTTCTTCCCCTCCCTCAAAATATTTCTAATCCCCGTCCACCTTAAAGATCACCACTAACCTTATATGCATTGAAAGTTTGGCAGAGATCAGTGAAGTTCGCTTCTCTGTATATCGCTGTAGGATGATGGTGAACTCTTACTAATCAAACATATCTTATATCATCGGTTTGAGCCGAACAATGGGACCAGCAATATGGAGAAATTACAGAAAATAAAAATAATAAAAATGTCTATTTTTTATTTATTTCGCCCTACATTATTTGATATTTTTGTTTGTTTATCTTACAAGGCCCGAAATTTCAATAGATAGGCCATACACCGCTTGGGCCGTTGAATTCTATTCTGAGCTGTATTTCTCAGCACCTCTAACCGACGACAATACTCATCTCTTGGGTCACAAACTGGAGCTAACTTCTTCATACGCTTACCCCAGGTCACGGTCTCCGCGCTTTAATCTTCCCCACAACCTCTCCCCGCACGATGAACAGGCATACATAAAACGAAGACGGTGTAGTGCAATTACTTTTTTCAGCGAACTATTGTCAGGAACCAAAGCACGACAACAAACATTCTTTTTGTTTACCCAATGTTACCACCGGACACGAACAGTGCTTCGAAGTCATTGGTAGTCGAATACAGAGAATCGATTTTTTACTTATTGAATGTGAGGTGAAACCCACGGACTAGATAACCTACTATTCAATCATAGAAATCAATAACATAAGCTTCGCGACTTAGATTGACGAACAACAAAAAGCCTCAGACAGTGGTTGTCGAAGACGGAGATTCATGAGCATATAATCACAAAGACGTCTTCTGAGTCAAAGGTATCCACAACGTCCAGTCGAAACCAACCGTCCCCATAAGTTGCCCTTTCAAAACGAGATTGCACAAAGACCTTCTGCAAATAGATGAAAAATTTTCAATTTTTACAACCCTTAACCATGCACTTTCGTCATCCATGCAGACTGGGTAGTGGGCAACCGCGGTTGTCTAAAGCTCTGCACCTGACTTCAGCATTACTTTTCCTCTTGCTCCAGTAGACTCTTTCAATGCGGTACATTCAGTGGCGTTCGAATACCGATAGTTTATCGTTATGCTGTTTTCGTAACGACCAAATCTATGCGATGTATAGCAAAACCGGCCGAACTAATGCAGCCTACACTAGAGTCTTCACAGACAATTGGATGTCGCGATGGTATCACGGATATCTGAAGTAGGCGAATGCCGATTGACCCTTCACTACGCGTGCCGAAACTTCACGCGTGATAGAGCAAGCGGCACTTGCCGAAGTCAGTAGTTAATGTGCAGTGAAAACATGAACAGTGCCCGATAACTCGTTATGAATGCAAGCAGTTTTTCTGTACGGTTTCCGGAGTAGCCTAATTCATATGTGTATGTGTGAGTAAGGACTTCGGAAAGGAGTTTCTATTATTTTCGTGGTTTTGATTTAGAGCAATTTTCCTATACAGTTTATACAAAATGCAACAACAATGGACTTCCGTTCAGTATATACTGATTTGGGCTATCGTCAAAACGATTGCATCACTGCATGCACACTTAACCCAATGGTTAACTTTCATTTTTTTGTGCATCCCAACTGTGATAAGCAAATCACTGTATAAAATTTTTATAAGACGAACAAAAATCGAACCAAGATTTGTTTGTGGGCGAAAAACTATCAAAAATAAATTATACCTAACCTAGTGGAGCTTTATGTGGTTCGTCAATCCAATTTCCGGGGCTTAGGTTGCCGGTTACCATAACTGAAGAGCAGGTCTTCGTGACTATCAGGTTCGTCCCGTCTGCTGTTCATCACGCAAATGTGTGTGCACAGAATCACACTAGAAATTGATTGTCAAAAGAGACACTCAGAACGGCTTAGTTATTATCGTTTATGTCCCATCGGTCTCGCTTTAACTTCACGTAAACAGACATCAGTCCAATAGCGGTGGAAAGAATCAATCTTTTTGCTGAGCTAAAATTGGGCTCGGTTTATAGAATACCGATAAGAAGTTGTAATTAGTAGTATTTGGTATTTTTCTTGTACCCCAATTTCCAACAGAAGTATTTTGAAAAACCCTTATCCATTTGAAATCCGACGAGCCAATGTGAAAAATTGTTTGATGCAGGTGGTTGAAAGGATAATTTTCAAAGAACCCATCTAAGTTTCGATCTGACATTTGTCATCCGGCAGCATAACATTAAACCTGAAGGTTGCTTTGTCACACATGTGCATTCATGGACTAGTGCATACCGATAAAATTTTGAAACCAGTTCAATATAAGCACATGCCACGGTTTAATTTTTACCTTTTTATTTTACGTTGTCATATTTTGGGCATTATCTAATAGAGTTTGTACATACTTTTTATTGATAATACAAGTTAATTCATATGTTGAAATTGACCATGAATAGAGATTTTTCATTCATTGTAAAGCAGCGGTATAAATTGTATCTCTGTTCGGATGGCTTTTAATGTTGCTATGATAGATGGCACAACATTCCTTAATTTTGAAATGTACATCAGGAGCACTGTTTCAGTTTTTCTGGATGGATTTCACGGGACTCGTTCAATTCAAATGGAAATGTCAAATAAATTGACAGAATTTCTGCTGCTCTAATGACTGTTTACAGCACATCGAACTGAAGGAAATAGCTATTGTATGCCCTTTAATGTCGTTGTTTTTGACTGCTGATTTAACCTGTAATCGTGGTGATATTTTAGTTGCATTGCATTGTTTTATTCTTGCCGCATTAAGTTTCTATCATTCCTATTTCCAGTTGATGGTTATTGGAGGATAATAGGCCCTAAATCTGGGGACAATTCTATCCATTCCTTTTCTGTGTATTTGCTTATTTGCATCTTTGTTCCACCGATTCTATCCTATCCTATTACGCATTCGTTCAGTTTGAATAATTGTACACTTTCTAATGAAATATATGGTGAGATATGCTAATCTGATTATCGGTTATTGTCGTATTACCCTTCCTGTAGTTGCATCTGTTGAGTAGTTGAATTTTGCTACCTGTAACCAACAGTCCATCATTTGAACAACCAGTTAGTCTGATTGGTTTCGACGTGCAACATTGAGAAGATCTCGCTCTCGCCTGTTTGTATTTGTGGATGATAGATAATACTTGGCGATATTCGTATGTGAATGTTTGTGCAGTAATTCCTTTGACAATTATCCGCGCTATACTTCAGACAATAGGTCTGTTTTCATCCCACTTGCAATATTGTCGTATGTAAGCTTGCCCACGTGCGCATCAGATACATTCAGTGATTCGCTCACACCTATACTGTCTGTAATAAGTCAACTGTGGCATACCGGTAGATTGTTTTGTTTTATCAGGCGACAGGCGGGAAACTCACGCGATCACCTTGGGGATTTTTTGTCCAAATGTCTGCTACGCCACGCGTTGTTCCGATTTGAACCATTTGTTGTATGCATACCATGTGTTGAACGTTCCGCGGAACGTGAAACTTCTTCTTTTTTGTTTATGGATTTCGGTGGGATATTTTTCGTTTCAACGCATTTTTCCGATTGCGGTTCCATTTTTGCTTCCACATTTGTAGAGTCTAGATTGCCAGAGCCCATATGAGATTTTGTACAGACTGTGGTCATACTTTCGCGCATATTATCATTTCTATCTTCCAGGGGAATCGGATTAGCAAGACTGAGTTTTCCCGGTGCGGTGGGAGATGTGGACATATTTCGATTCGGACCAGACCAGTACGGTTGGCTATTTGATGCCCTTGGCCTACGTTGAATATGCGTCAGAATTGTATTCCCATATGCACTAGATCTACTCAAATTTCCCTTACGATCAATGTTCTCGGAAGTGCACAGATTATCCGGTGAGTCTAATTGAGATGGGGAGGCAACCGCGTCTTTGTATATTTCTCCTCCGGACTGTAAGGTAGCTCGTTCGTGCAAGTAGTTCTCGGCATCTCCAACCGCTCCACTCACAGGCATAATTTCGACCAGACGTGGATAGCCTAGATTATACAGTTTTTCCGAGTAATCCACCAATCCGAGCGCATGTCCAAGAATACCAACTTCTTGTCGAATTTCGTTCACTTGAGGCGGTTCCAGTTCGCATATTTCATTAGCGTCGTCATCTAAAAAGTCCACCGGGAGCATGGTCTGCGAGTTAGTCTGTTTATTTGTATTCTTAGCCAATCCCATTGATAACCAGTAGGGATGCAAAATATTGGATGAATCGACTTCAGGTGGTGGGAACAGGAAGTCACTTAAAAGTCCAGTGTCAGCTAAACCGGTGGTTAACAGTCTGAATAGACGTTGTGCTTGTCTATCGAGGCATCGGTTTCGCACACGTTCCAACCACAGAGTTAGCAAACACAAACAAGCGTCTCGGTCCGCGGCAATACTAATACGGGCTGTCTCCTTTTCAGGCCCAGTCAGTTTGTTGATTTGATCGGGTGTCATTTTTCGAGCACCGACCATACGATTTCCTTTTCGATTAAGCAAATCCACATCATACTGAACTGGACCTTTAGGCATATATTTCTGTCGAAAAAAACCGGCCGCTGCGACATGTTCTAGTAGGCCGATCAATCGATTGCCACAATTCGAATAGCTCCGACTAGCTCCTTTACGAGCAAGACGATGAAAAACGGAGCACCAAACCTCCTCATTCGTATCTGGTCTTCCAGGCTCTGGCACAGCTGGTCGGACATCGTACACACATGGGTCGTAGTAGCATGCAGTCGAATTGCTATCGGACAGACTGCGATAGCTAATTGTTTGTAACAATCCAATTACATCCACTCCCGGACGCGTGTTTAGTAGTTTTACACAAAAGTCCAATAGGTCTACAAACCAATGTGTGGTTTCCCGTGTTGTGCCCAATCGTTCAATGATTCCTATCGGTGCTTGTGGATGGAAATTAGCCGACATGAGTATTGTGAGGCCGGCGAAAAACTCCCTTCGAACTGCTATGATTGCCGGATGTGTGGTTGAGTATTCATCCATGACAAATGGTCCGGGCCGGGGTTTCACTCGACGAACGTAGCATGTAGCATTCACATCAATCTCTTGTCGTGCTCGGGCATGAATTCTTGTCCCAGAAGTGTCCAGTAGTAAACGTAAAACTGAACGTAAACGGAAGTAGATAGCGATAGCCAGTGGGGTTAGATAAAGCACCGTTTTAATTCCATAGGCTGGCATACCTGGACCGGTTCTAGCATCGATGTACAAATGTGGTTGGTCATATAATTCGAAATAGGCTGAGAGTAGACTGGGTTGAACATTTGCAAGATTCACCAAATGATGAAGGCCATTTCTACAACGCATTTGGTTTACAAGCCATCGGGTAACTTCATGATCTCTTGGATAGTATTTTGGCAAGGAGTCTCGTGTGCTCGCATCTATTTGTGTCTCGGTGTATTCACTTGAACCACGAGTCACTCCAGCCGGATTATCTGTGGAGGGCTTCGAATCTCGTCTATACTGAAAAGTCATGACTATCCAAACAGATCGCGATCACACGCGTCCCGTGCTAACTGGTCCCTTACCAGCTACTTTCTCTATGATTGATTCGATACTTTTGTAATCAATAGATTCAAACCATGCATGACCGGTTCCGTCCGAGTTAAGATCACGTGATGCGTTATTTGTTCTCTTAATGTGAAATTGGTAGCTAATTTTTATCGAGCTTCTGAGCATAGTTAGGAACTTCTAGCATATGTTCTCTGGACATCAACAGTAAGCTCGCACAATGTGTGAACAAACAATGACAAAAATTCAAATGAAAATTTAATTATGAATTGTGAAACAATTCTGGACAGCAAATTTATTTCAGTTTAAGAGAAAGTGTTTAGGTTATTTATTTTGTGTAAAGAGATATATTCATCAGGCAAAAACAAATATCACTAATTTTTCTTACTGGTTAAGATACCTCGACAATGCTTTTGTATCGAATCCATTGGGATTCGAACCCGACTACATAGGTTTGCACATTATACACCCTAACCACAGTCTCAATAGCAAGTTACGCATGTGATATACGTAGATAATCACTGATCAACTCGGTTGAACTCCAATTTGATTAATTGCTAGGGCATCACCTGCCACAAAGTTTGCCAACACAATTTTAGTTGCTTCAACAAAGAATTCAAAGGAAATCAGAAGGTTATGATATTTGTATTGCAAAATATTCGCAATGAACTTTCATGCTAGCAAATCAAGATCAGACGTTGCTTTGAGGAACAAAAATTGGTCGCGCATCACACCAATCCCAAAAACGAAATTCGGGAAATTTTGACCAATCGCATGCACTTCTGTTTTATTAAACATTTTCGAAAAGTTTATGCTTGGTAAAATTATTCCTAACACGGGCAGTTAGATCACAGTCAATTCGCTTATCACAAATAACGTTCTACCTTAGACACCGTTGCGCATTTGGTAAGCTCAGTTTTCGCAATCCATAGACATGCGTGGTACAACATTTCATGTCTTTCCTCAATTAAAGTAATGCTTTTAATTGTGCCGTCAGAGACAGGCTTTTGTCTCTACTCCTGGGTGCTGAACTGTTCCATACTACTCCGTCTTTACTCCAAGATTATTTTACTGGTAGAACACAATTCACTAAGTTTCTTGGAAAAATTTCTGACTCGCTACCGGTCAATTCCGGGTGCTCCAGGGAGCACTATTGTCCCCTTTTCTTTTCTTTTTCTATAGTCGAGACCTACCCACTAACCCAGACTATCTTCTTATGCTGATGAAGTCACTATAGGTTCCTAAGTCCTAGGTGCTTTCCTCTTCTCACAGCTTCAAACCAGTTTATCTACCTTAGGCTTATGGTCTTCGTATTCCAAATTATCTTTCAATGCCTCTAGATGTGGTGGCCAAGTTGCTATGTCACCAACTTGTGACCTGTTAGTCCCGGGTTCGAACCGCTCCATCGCCGCCCGTCTTACCAGGCAGCCTTTGTTTGGCCACGGCTCCCCTTCCTGAAAGTTGACTGTACATTTGTATATTCAATAAATAAAAGAAGTAAAAAGACAATTTTTTTAATGTAAGGTTGTCACCTTACTAGCCAAAGGAGAATGGTTACATTCTTTTGAAAGTGTTCTATACTCTATGTTGACAACCAGTCTATTCCCCCAGTACGTTCTCTGCAATACCTCGGTGTTACTTTCTGCCAAGATCTCACCTGGACTTCACATTTGAAATATTCGATGATTTTGTTTCGTTATTTCCCGGTTGCGATCTTTAAGAGTTCTATTGTATTTACTCACCCGCTTTCTATGTTCTTGTTTTGTTACTCATCTTCTTTACTGCTCCCCAGTAGTATTTACCGGTCTTGAAGTTAAAGACGACACAATTCTACCCCGGTCTAGTAAAATTATTACTCGCACAAGCGTTATTCCCCATTTATTCTTAAATTTATCGCCGACTAACATTTTACCTCTTGCGAAAACTTCTGCGACAATATTCTATCAGAAATCACTCACCCATTACACAGAACTTAAACAATGTATAACCGCTTCTGTAACTAGGTGTCGTTATAAACTTGTGTATACTCGTACCACTGCATGCGGTTTGTCCGTTATCCAATATCTTTGAGTTTTCTGACACAAAAGCATCCGTTAGAGAAAACGTTTTGAAATTCCTACGTAAATGATACCCACTTTCAAATTTTTTTGCCACATTCCTATTGAATTTGCGATGCTTTGTGACTGTATGCGATGATGAATGATCCCCGTGTGCAAGCAGCTAAAAATCCATCGATTAGGATGAAGAAAGCGATGTGTGACTTGATCAATATATCCCTTCTGAATGGAACTAACTTACCGGTCAAATATTAAACGTTTTATTTTTAATTATTTCTCTTTTGTACTCGAGGTAATAAAATTGATCAAGAAAGAATACAAAGAATCCAAGGGGTTGCATCTTATCAGTTTTATTTGTATTCTGTTTTGTACAGGTTGTGCAAGACTGTAACGCCAGTCCATTCATCGTTCATCATTGAATAGGTTTGCCGCTGTTTTCAGATTCCGTTGGTATCTTTCCATCTAAAAAACAGACAGAGAAAACGAAAAAGACCGAGAGTTCTTCAGATGTTCACCATGTTTTTTTCCATTTCTTGACTGTACATTTCAGGGGAAATCAACGATTCAAAGGTTTGTTAAAGCTTTTCCAATCATTTATAGCAACACTTTGGTAAATTGTACTGATTGCTTTGCTACTCCTGATGCAGTGCTTCGTAAAATTTGATCTATTTACAATTTTCAATCGTTTTGGGAAATCAGAGCACCCATATCCCGTGATGAACTCGACCAAACACGGTGAAAAATATTCTATGAGGGGAAGTCCTCTCACTTCTCTTGGAAAAGAATGTCTCATTATTTTGTCTGGCAGTTTACGGAAGACAACAATCTTGTGTTTTGAGCTGTGGAAAGATCAGTAGCCTCGTTGGTATGCGAACTCACTCATTGACCCAGCCTACACTCTTGTAAAACACGCACCCTACAAGCTGAGCTAGGAAACCACATTCATTCATCCATCCACTCAAATGTGAAAACACCAGGACTGTCGGTGTGTCCTCGCAGCTCGGCTGGTAGAGAGCGTGCGTCGTAGGAAAGCGTAGATTCAAATCCAACCGATGCTGCTGGTATTTCCACAATTCATACAATGGAATATTTGTCGCTGCCTCATAAAACAGATTAAACTTCGCATCCGATAGCACAGCAAATCAAATGTATTCCTAGAAGGAATTTCTATGTTGCCGCACTACTTATCGGTCCTGTCACTTGACGCTTTGCTACAACGCCGTTCATGGATAGCAGTTATCAATTCTATCCCTCGTTGCATTCACGTCTTCTTTGAAAGTTACAAGGAAGCTTGCATAAACCAGTAGATCCGGCGATCCGCGTCACAGACGAATAATGAAGGCTTAATAGACCTTTTTGATTATATGACTAGCAGGAAGCCAAATAAAGGGGTAAACCCCATAATCATGAGGACTGTAACGCAGTAAGGATGAGAAGGCATTCATTTGGAACAAAACGTGACGATTTCGCGTTTGAAGATAGAAAACTTGTAAGTAGGAATAGTGGGACACGGTGTACCAAAATAGTAGGTTCTTTGAGAAAATGTGGATCTAAATGCCACTATTCAAAAGGTTTCAGAAATTTCCAGCTAGAAAACGGGTTGTGCGAGCCAATAAAAAGCAGGATTCAGTTCGGCTAAACACAAGGAGAAAAATCTGTGGTACTGACAAATGAAAAATAGACAGAGAGGCGATAGCTGGACGATGGGCAACAGTTTGCAGGATGAATCGGTAACACAGTGAATGAATAGCCTTTTGCGGAACGCAGTTAACACCTTTCGAATACAAAGAAGTGACCTCGCCCAAGACATGGGGTACAATGAGATATGGTAAAAGGTCAAAAGTGGGTAAGAACTCGCTCCGAATGGAAAGAAATAAGAAAAATTCCTAAACGCACGCAATGCAAGTTCAGGAATTCGAGGAAACAAAAATGGGGCGGAAATAAACTGGAGACCAAGTAAAAGTGTGTGAAATGAAGTGAATCAGAGTGAAATTGCAGCGTGAGAGCACGGGAGTCACGCTTACTGCATACCTATTGATAAAAGTTCTTTTGTGGTATTGAAATTGACCCCAAGCGGTGATTACCATCAGATTTTATTTGCGTGTAGAATACGCACGCAACTTTAGCTAATCCTGTGCATCCAACATGCTTGGCATTGCCCGTGATACAGATTTGGCTTTAACAAATCGCCTTTACTACATTTTTAAGCTAAAATACATCGCGGTGGTTTAACACTTTTTCCCTTATCCTTAGCACTTTGTATTTTATGTTTTATGCTAATTAAAGTGACGAGTGGAGTTACTTTTACAGAATGTATTTTTTATCATGGAATTTCAAGTTAATAATCGATAAGTGAGCTCACTTCTGCCTTGCGCTGATGTTCCAAAGAGGCAATTTGTTTTCTCAGCTGATCCACACGTGATCTTTCCTTTTCCAATGCGCCTCGAAGAGCGATACCCTGCTCTTCCATTTGCTCGGCCAGATGCTCGGCCTCAGATCGCCATTGAGCTGCTAGCTATTACATACCAATCAACACAAAGTGAAAAGAAACAATTCGCCATTGTGAGATTTTAAAGCAAATAAAAATTTCATTATTTACGATGAAGGTTTGTGTAATGACAGTTAGGAATATCAGTCAGCTGTCTCGTCCTTGAGGGTGCTTGATAACAGGGTGCACAGTTTTTGTATCTCTATCAGGACTCGAACCACGAACCGTCATGCAGCGGCAAAACCCCTACCCGTAAACTACATGACCAATACTCCGAGTGTATGGTTAGTTCAATTAGACAAATTATCGCGTATACATTTACAGGTACGGCGCCAAATATCACCATAGGTTGAAAGGGAAATAAATAAGCAGAACAAAAAATAATACAAAGCAATCAGTTTTGGAAACGGATAACAACCATTTTGCTTGTTTACAGCAGGCAGTTTTGACGACTTTTCTCTCCTTATTTGTTTAATCCATACGAATTCACACTACACCTCTCTGGTGTAGGTATTATTCCCTGATAGCTTTTCTTCCGAAGGTGGTGTACGCTGTTTACTTTTCGATGTTTTTAATATATGGAGAGTAAACGAGTTCATCCAAAGGGAGACCCGTACAAGAAGCGCCGTACGCAGACTCTGGTATCTATTTGTTTGCATGAACTGAATAAGAACGTATCTATAGGTTTCGTTTATTTGATTGCATCTCTCCGAGGAGATTGCGTAATAGAGCGGAACTGATAATCAGTGAGATACAGTGAAAGGCGATAAAGGTGATTTGATTTTCCCTCGATTATCTTGTCTGATTCGTACGCTTCTAATCGACTTCATTCAAGAAAAACCGAACTCTACTGCCGTTTTCTCATGAAAAGACGCATGTGTATCCTAAACAAAGCCCTTTTCGGAGATAAACAATCTATGTGGCGAGCATATTTGGTAACAAATAAATGGACTGGGAGTGAATCTGATCCAAAAGGTGGACAATTAGAACTACCATGGAAGAAAAGGTTGAAGCCACAAGCTCTGTACGGAAGAGGATATTCACTTTGAACAAGACTATCTGGTGTATATCATCATTGCTACCTTCAATTGAAAAACAACAAAGGAAGTGCACCCAGCCACCACGTTTCGATACAGAAGTAATGCGCCATTTTGTAAAAAGAACTCTTTGGCCTGAAAATGTCCTAGGGCCTCTCTCTTTCTTATGCCATTGATTACTTCTTTCATCCACTCTTTGCTCAACGAAATCCACTATACAATAAAAATGATTGTTTCGTTTCTGGTTTCATGAAGTAGAATCTTTCCGACATGCTGATCAACAAGTGGGGGACTGACATCCGAAAAATAAATTCCATGGTACATAATTTGACTTTTTATGGTATTCGGCGCATCAACGTGGACTAACACTGCCATAAATTAGGCCTCTAAACCTCCGCTCGTTAGGCAAACAAGTACTGCTCTATTTTTTCCTCTGCCAGAACCCAAAGAAGATTAAAGTTCTTTTATCTGCTTAGATATAATGAAATGGAATGTTTGGAAAAAACAACTGCGCCACGTTTCTATTTTTTGTGTGAAGCATTTTGCATATTATGATAAACTTAAAATTGTAACGTGTTTGGGCAGGTGAATTAAATGTTTCCGTTCATTGTTGCCATGTGTCGTTTACATTGTAATGAAGAGCGTAGTTTTTGCAGCATAGGATGAGATTTCGATTGGTGTTCTGTATCTATCCTCGGAGATAGTGGATTAACAATTTATCCACTATCTCGGAACAAATTTGATTTGCTAATTGAGTCAACCCGGGATTGAGTTGGTCAGTGCAGTGCTAATATACATGAAGGGCTCGGAGTTAAACTCTCATACCATTCAATAGATATGTACTACTGATGGACTCTAAAAGTCTGGCTCTTAGCGATGTGGCTAAATAGAGTCCGGATTTTGCAATCAACTTAGGGTTTGAGGGATGGTCAGTCGAAGCGAATAATGATTGTATCACACCAGAGGAATTCGGTGTTGTGGCTAACCTATTCATCAAATGATCGACTAGCGAATTGAGGCAGTGATTTTTCTATCCAGCATTAAGAATCGATTTACCATAGTAAGTGGTATGAGTTGCCGATACATTGGACTGTAACTTGCTTGTTTGAATCGTTCATGTGATAACAGACACATTTCTATTTTCGCGTGATAGACTGTTTGATTGCACACCTTTTTTCTACAGCCCAGTACTCATTTTTGTCTATCGAATGGGTTAAAACAAGAAGGACAGCCTAGTTCGATAAGTAGTATATGCATAAATGGTTCAAACTTCTGACCCAGGTAGGTTATAAACACATGAACAAATAGATCTTTCAGTAGGATTCGGTGGAGATTGTGAAGTCTCACCAATAAACTTCCCATAGGTTCATAGTACTGATCGACCAATGAACTCTTTTCAAAACAGAACTCTCAAGTAACCTCACGATTAGGCGGTAAGACAGATGTTTAGAGTATCAGGTGTAGCTCAGGGGTAAGGGTTTGAAGTCTCGACCTGAATGTTCAAGGTCTGAGTCCTGACGGACACAAAAAGTACACCCTGCTGACGAGTCCCAAATAGGACGAAACAGCTGTCCAGTGCTCTTTGTCAGCCATCACAAATATTTTCATCGCGATAAGATTGTTGTATGTAAAAGTGCTATCGTATTTTTCCTCAAAAAATAAATCTGAACTGCAATCCGGGTGTGTATCATCGCAAATTTGGAATTTTCTCCAACTCGTCTGCTATGTCTTGGGTAGTGTGTCGATATGGTCCTGCGGACAAGGATATAAGAAATGTCCCAACGGACTTCGATCAGTTAGGGACTCTCCGATACCTATTTTCTGTAATCCATGACTTCTATCGATTGCACATTTTCTGATTCCATATTTAGTACAACAGAGATTCTTCTATTATTTGAACAAATATAAACCCTGGGCTTCGTTTTCTGTCGCTGCTCCTTGGCTGCATGTACACCAAGAATAGATTAGAAATGAACCTCTACAAAAACAAGGCCGATGGAGAAGGATAAATGAGGTAAGAAAGTGTGCTAATCGAATGTGATTAATTACTTTTCAGTACAATTTTCCGTATTTGTATTACATGTAGTCAAACAAATAATTGTCCTGTTTGGTGACCTGCTCGAGAAAACTTGTCACTCACAGTGTGCTGTTTCGTCAACATTTCTTGCCAACGCTGTACACTAGTCTGATTGGCTTTGTCCATTGCCTCTATTCGTCTTTTTGATTCAACATTGTTCAGTTCGACAGTTTGATTAGCCGTAAGCACTTGTTGCAGGGCAGATCGTTGGGCAGCATTGGCTTGACGTTTCGCCTCCAAAGCCTGGTTTTCTGCCAAGCTCAGTGCTTCCAGTTGGCGTTTGAATCTTTCCTCCATGGTATTTCGTTGAGATTCCGCATATTCCAGACGCTCTTTCAGAGATTTGACCTAGAATCAAACAATGGCAGCAAGTTCACTAATTTCCGTATTTTTTTTCGGCTAGCGTTTGGCTCTTTGATCACATTGCACCGTTCTTTTTACTACGATAGGAGATTGGGTAAATGTCCCAGTTGATCTTTTCCAATCAACCGGATTTATAAACTTCGGGAGGAGCGGAATTTGGTCGGGATCAAAATATTTTAGGCTCAAAGGAATGGAATTGGTGACCAATTGCTATCTGCGGGGTTGTTTTACCATTTAGGATATTCCCGAATAACAGAGAGAACACAATTCTATGCTGCTTTTCCATTCATACAGTCTCCTTTATCTACGAAGGCGAAACAGGAGAAGATAAAAAAACTACTTCTTAACGGTCAGAACACACAATATTGGATAACGCTAATGACGGAGAAACTCTAATCTATAATGGATTCATTCGTCGCCTCTGTTTCCTATTGGTTGTTCAACCCTGCGGTACTGTTGCTATTACCCATCATTGGTTACTACCTCCCGAGCTTGCGGCTTACCCTTAAATAGCGTAGGTCTCTTCTGGGTCATCATTAAGCGATTCGTGTATTTTAATCTTCCATGGAGGAAATTGTGGAATCAGTTTCGGTTAGCTGAGTGTTTCTTGTGTTTCGGTTTGCTGTTGAGGGTTAGAACAACTTTGTTTATTACGTTCCAATTAAAAACCAACTACTAACGTACTTCTTCCTGAAGTTTTTGAATCTCAGACTGCTTTGTAGCCAAATTTCGTTCGAATGAAGTCTCAGCTGTCTCCAGACGAAGTTTCAGCTCATCTCGCTGTTGTTCCGCGCAATGTGCCCGTTGCAAAGCACTTTCTAATCGAGGATCCAGTTTGCCCGGTTGAATATTTTCGCACTGACCGGCTTTTGTTTGAGCACTTTTTAGAGTTTCAATCTCATGCTCCTGTTTGATCCTTTCCTGTGAACAAACAAGAAGACAGTATTAGACGAAATTTTAATTAGAGAAATTCATACGGGATCGCGTTCAGACTGCACTTTCTCGGACTTGTGAAAATGTTAACGACTAATTTCAAACAGAAGACGATTTTAAACAAAACGTTTTTCTCTTTTTGCTTAGACTATTTATATTTGTCATTCATGTTAATCCCAAATTCATTCACCGGAAACAAAGACAGTACCCATTTTATGAATTGAGTAAAATCACCGGAGCCTGTTTAACATCAGAACAAAATGGCATGCGGCCGGAGGTTTTAATTCGGTATTGCAACCGCTTGACGATTTCCTTCGTTCGGCCCGTTACGACTTTCCTACTGACACCTTATATAACTTGTTGCTTCTGACTCACAGTGTTGGCCCTTGTGGCTCACTGTGATGATCCGACGCTTCGTGAGAACACCAGTCATGGGGTGGCGTTATACAGTTTCAGATTGATCAGTGAGTAGCCAGTGCTCTGTACCAATCACAACCAGACTGGTTCAAACAGGAATTGTAAACAGAAGAACATCAACTGTGATTGGTCACTACTGCTTCAGACAGTGGTGTTTCTTTGTACTTCATATTTAATCACATTGTGTCCCGCCAAAAACTATCACTGAACGTGGATCCACGATACGTATCTAAACGATCTCAGCTATAAAGACAGTTGCAAACAATGCAATCCTTTTTTGGTAGTGCTAAACAAACGTGGATTGAAAAAGGGAAAAACTTGCGGTATATATGGGGTTGATCACAGCCTCGTCATTTGTACGGAATTGGGTTTACGGGGCCACCGATCAGGAAGATGCACGATTACACATCCAGGGCCGTCGAGAAAAAGCCGACACGTTTTAGCGTGGCTGCTGATCCCGAACCATTTCAAATGCAAACCGTGAGAATTCTCAGGAGAAGGTCCAGCTACCCCTGACAAACTACTTTCTTACAATAAACTAACAGCTACTTCTGTGGTCTTCTTTCTTAGTCTTGATATCAGGAGATCTTGATAGACGATTACCTGTGCGATTTCGATTCCTGATTCACGTCCATTACGCACACAACACTCATCTCTTTTATTATTTATAATAATGTATGCGATTAGAAATCAAAAATTTAGCCATCTTCAATATACATTTTTTTGCCTATCATTGATGATGGTTTTTCTCATATTGTGACATTTATTTGTTTTGGCTTTTTATTGCGATAAATGCTCGGTTCTATATGAATTCTCGTTGTTCTCTTTGAAAACCCTTTTCTACAATTTTCCGAGCGTTATACGTGTTTCGACCTTGAGAGCCATGCTGTCTTAAATTGACGGGGGCCTGGACTCAACCAACGATCATTGGCTGTGTCTAGAAACGTAGTTCAGTCATATCACACTGGCGTTTTCAGTAGAACGATAGATGAAGAAGATTTCAAAACATTCAATGTTAGATGTGAGTAATAAATGTCAAAATTGGTGTGTTCAAATAGGGCTGTTGATTGCAAAACTAGGTAGTGTTTGGAACGCTCCCTCAACAAAATAGCACGTTTGTATGTCAGTTTAAAAAACTGAATGCATTTTCACTTATCTAAAGAGTTTGTGCATCAAACGGTGGATGTCACTCGCGAAATGAAACCATTAGAATAGGACGACCGTATCACATGTAAAGAAGTATCAATGGGATGTATTCAACACTCCAGAAGTGAATGCCATATACAAACAATTAGACGATGACCATCAATGGATGTAGATTTTTAAATCCCCACTGTCCTGTGGTTTACACTGTTTTGATGAAAGCTTGTGTTGAAGCTCCTCAAGGTCACAACTTATTTTGGTTTGGGTACAAAAGTTATCCTCACAATTGCAAACCGTCTAACTTTGGCTCATAAGTGGTAATGATTGCATTACCTTCTCCCCAGTGAAAATACACTCTCGTTTACTTGTTAATGATTTGTAAATAATGAATATCAATATGAATATCACCAACAGTCTGTTAAACTTCACCCAGTGCGTTGTAAAAACCCGTTTCTTCCAGAGTAATTCCACTGGATTGCATTTTGGGCTCAACACACCGCTTATCTTATGTATTTCCTCAATCCAAGTCCCACGGTTTAGGTTACTGGCTTGCACGGCAAAGATGTAACTCCTCATGCATATGGGAATATCAGCCACTCTACTGTTGGTCATATTAGGTTTATGATAAAACATAAAAGCTGGCACCTTCAATGCAATGCCGTCGCAGTTGAACTAACTTGTTCCGCTGTGTGCAGTTCTTCAAGTAACTTGGCAATATTCTGATTTGCTTGCTCGCGAACTTTTTCCACCTCCTCCGCTGTCCTTTGTCCAGCCTCGTCCACCAACTTTTCAATAACTTTCTGCAGTCTATTCAATTCGTGCTCCGCATTGGACTGTGCCAGAGTGGCAGCATCTCTTTCATCCGCAGCCGTCTTGGCCAGTTCGATTGACTCCGAGACCTGAAGTCGTTCGTATTTTGAAACAAGGAAATGTAATGCTCTTTCAAAGACCGCACTGTTCCGTGCAAATCAAACTAAACGATAGAAAGGATAGTAAATGATTTCGAATTGAAATTTAGTAGTTCATTTCGCAGCGAGTTTCACGTATAGACCACATTTGTATAAACCGATTTGAGGTAGGTAGGTCAGTGTTTTGGCAATGAAAATAAGATTCTTAATAACCTCTTTTTATAGCAGACAGTTGAATTCTATTTCTTGTTCAAAAAATTTGTAAAGTGCAAATTGCACGTTTCCCCTGCCCGTCAAGGTAGACAGAAAAAGCAGGTTATCACCAGCTTGATCGTAAATTTTTTATCATGATGCCCCAGAGACAGCTGTGTCTATTCTTGAATTTATATAATCTGTTGTCTTACAGCAATGGCCAACTGGTCTTTCTGAGATTGATTCTTATGCGGCGGGGCTTCCGTCATATAAACTGCACATTGTAGCCAATAACTCTAGGAACGAGAACTAGTCATACTGTAAAAAGATTTAAGCTTTGCATGCGGTAGCTCATACCTGGCTTCTACTCATGAACATCGTTTCTCCATTAGGTGAACGCGCATGTGAATGTAGGCGATGAGCAGAACATAGACAGCGATCAGATACTATTCTAGGTGGAAGCAGCTTTATTTCTCAAAATTGACGGCTACACTAAATAACCTAATGTAAACAGTTACCATTGATCAATTAAAATCTGAACCTTTGGTTCTAGACAATGCGTAATAAATTTGATGAATTAATCACGAAACCAGTTTAAGTCCTTTAAAAAAGATTTTCTGTTTTGAAATTTCTAGCTTCCTCAGAAATCGGGTCAAAAAGCAGAAATTTCCGTTCCAAACGATTTTTGCACAGTGCAGATTTTTAACTTCAGTTGACATCGTTATTTTTGAGGCCCTAATTAAACTAAAATGCAATCATGTGAATGAAAATCTTATCGGCCTTCTTCCACTGGTTCTATTTTACCGCTTCGATGAATTCTAAGGTTTAGGCCTAACGTCATATTAGACTCATCACGAACTAACCATCACCGCACACACGCATCGATGCAAGAATCGATTCGCTCTTGATTGCACTGATTTCCCTGAAAATTATATAAAACTGTGATCAGTTATTTTTTGGTTAGTGTTCTGATCGTATGAAGGGAAAATGTGGAGCGCTCACCTTCTGGAAAGATTCTTTGGCCATTTGACAAGAAGCATCATATCGTTCCTGTAAATCGGATAGGTTACTTTCCAGCTTTTTAATGATATCGATCGCATCCAGATAGTCTCGTTTGAGCTGCCCAAAATCCTAAAATATCACAAAAGTGTGTGCTAATAACATAGCATGTATAACAATCGCAGCCTAGCAGATATTAGTCGTATATAGTGCTCATATCATGGACAGAAGAATAAAGAAGTATTCTACCTTAAAACGAATGGGAAAAGTGATTGTCCGATTTCTCTCAGTATCGGTCAACTTATATTATTATTGTTATTATATGTCATGTGGGTAATGGAGGATTTGGTTAAGTTTCAAATGACAATTCGTCGTGTATATGGCAAATGAAGCGTGAACTGAAAAGCTCGGAAGCACTGGACAGCTGTTTCGACCTGGTTGGGTCTCATCAGCAGT